TCTCTGGGTAATATATTGAATAATATCCTAGATAGAAAAAATGCCCAGAGTCACTGCACCAAAAAGAATTGGCTGATGTTCAACCATTTGAGGAGGTACCATGTGATCATGACGCCATTGAAGAAAGGCATGCAAGCTGCACTGAAGGCATTAGTGAAGAACAAGGCTCCAGGAATTGATGAGAAATACTCATTGAAATATTTTGACAAACTAATTCAACGCTGAAAGCACTCACTAGCTTATGCACCAGAAATTGGAAGACTTACTTATCGGTGCCCATTCTAAAGAAAGGTGATCCAATGGATGTGGAAATCATAGACCAATATCATTATCATCACATACAAGTTAAATTTTGCTCAAGATAATTAAAAAATGACTGCAGCAGTTTACTGACAGGGCAGATTTAGAAGAGGATGTGGAAGGAGGGATTGTATTGCTTATACCTGATAGATCTTGGCTGAAAGTAGAGAATACCAGGAAGATGTTTACCTGTGTTTTATTGACTGTGTAAAGGCATTTGATTGCATGGCTCATAACAAATTATGGAAAACATTGTGAAGAATGTGAATTCTAGAGCACTAAATTGTGCCATGAAGAACCTGTACATAGACTAGGAGGCATGGTTTGAAATCAGGAAAGGTGTGTGTAAAGGTGTGTGTCACCATACTTATTCAATCTGTATCCTGAGCAAATAGTCCAAGAAGTTGGACTATATGAAGAACTGAACATCAGGATTGGCAGAAAACTTATTGTCAACCTGTGATCTGCAAATATCACAACCTTATTTGCTGAAAGTGAGCAGGGTTAAAGCACCTACTGATGAAGATCAAAGCCTTCAATATAGATTAAACTTCAACACAAAAGAACAAAAGATCCTTGCAACTGGACCAATAAGCAACATCATGATAAATGAAGAAAAGACAAGTTGTCAAGAATTTCATTGTACTTGGATCTACAATTAACGACCATGGAAGAAGTCAGGAAAGCAAATGATTGGGCAAATCTGCCGCAAAAGATCTCTTTAAAGTATTAAAAAGCAAAGATGTCACTTTTACGACTAATGTGTGCCTGACCCAAGCCAGGGCAATGTGAATTGACTCAAATGTGTGTGAAGGCTGACCTGTTAATTATGGTGTGGTGAAGACTATTAAATATAGAATGCCAGAAGAACCAATAAATCTGCCTAAGAAGTGCAGTGGAATGCCTCTTAAAAGCAAGGTTGATGTACTTTGGACATGTCATCAGGAGGGCCCTTGGAGAAGGGCACCATGCTTGGAAAAGTTGGAGGTCAGCACAGAAGAGGAAGACACTCAATGAAGTGGATGGACACAGTGCTGTAACAATGAGCTCAAATATAGGAATAACTGTGAGGACAGCTCCTATTCAGGCTGTGTTTTGTTCTGTGAAACATAGAATCAATCACTGTGAGTTGGACTGGACTTGCTTGCATTTAACAACAATGTACTAGTTGTCTGTGGTCAGATGTTTATAATCCATAGACTTACTGTAATTACAAATATTTGAGGGTATGTATATAGCTGCACTACTGTCCTGGTGTGGTGCTGTGGAATAAGCACTGAACTGTTAACAAGAAGGTTCAAACCCCTAGCCACTCCATGGAAGCCCTATACAGAGTCGCTATGGTCTGAACCAACTCAATGTCATTTAACAACACAATTAAACTTGCATGGTGTAGAGTTGTGTGTTTACTGCTTTAAATTTTAAAAATTTGGGGGAATTTTGTTGTAGTTTAGGTAGTATAGGATAAGCACTGGGCAGCAAGGTTACTTTGAACCTCAAGGTTGGCAGTTCAAATCCACCAGCTGCTCCTGGGAAACCTTATACAGAGTTACTATGAGTCAGGACTGACACGATGGCATTTAACAACAACAGTAAGAAGTACGGAAGTCCATATTTCATTTCCTTATATCCTTAAGAGAGAAAGAACAAATTTTCATTCTGGTACAGAATCACAAGCCTGGGAAACATTTTCTCTTGGTTGACTTTAGCAAGAAGTTGGCTCTCAGCGGCTCCTTTCAGATGGCCACAGCCATTCCACCACATGGTGGCAGTCAAGTCCCATGCTCGAAGTCTTATCTGGCTCCTCTGTTGCTGCCTTTCTTAAAGATTTACGGATGCTTAGGCTTTGCATCAAGGTAGCGTAGTGGTTACAAATTGGGCTGCTAATCTCACAGTCAGCAGTTCAGAACTACCAGCTGTTCCACGGGAGAAAGATGAGGCTTTCTGAGGTTCGCTATGAGTTGAAACTGACTCCATGGCACATGACAACATGCTTTGCATCAAAGAAAAGTTATTTGCAGACTTTCAAACAAGAATCTTCCTTAAAATTAGAAATAACAGGATAGCATTTTCAAAACAGCACTGCCTGTATGTGATTATCCAGCAGACTGAGCTTGCTGTTAGGGTTTTTATGTCTGGGATGCTCACTATGTAGTATTTCTTATTCTGTTCTCTTGAGTAAGACTACAGACAAGGAAGGATTGTTAGAAAGAGATGCCTATCTGCAAGACTAGCAGACTAGGATTTTTGAGATCTGGAGACTATGAAGAATTTCAGGAATTTTTTCCCACATCAATGGGAAACTGTCATACGAGTACATGCATTTAGATGATTTATTAGTTGTCCAGGATTTGGCTGGTTAGTTATGTGCTACTGAGTTGCTTCCAACTCATAGTGAACTTGTGTAGGGTTTCCAAGGCTGTAAATTTTTACTATAGCAGAAGGCCTCATCTTTCTGTAACGGAGCAGCTGTAGATTTGAACTACTGACTTTGTAGTTAGCAGGCCATCTTATAGTCCATTTTCACTACCAGGGCTCCTTGTTGTTGTTTTTAAGTGCCATTAAGCCTGTGTAGAGTTTCCAAGGAGCAGCTGGTGAGCTTGAACCACCGACCTTGCAGTTCATAGACCAATATCATTATCATCACATACAAGTTAAATTTTGCAATCTGACACCCTGACACATTAGCACATAGCACCACACCAGGATTCCTTAAATAGGTTGAAATTAAAAAACAAAAACAAAAAAACACCCCACGTGATATTACAATGTAGTGGAATATCTGCCCTAACCCCGCTGCAATTTTTTCTTTTTTTTTTGGTAAATCTAACACATCTTTTAATTTATTGTTGTTAAGTTGTTAAGTGCTGTCAAATTAGTTCTGACTCATAGCGATCCTGGATCTAGTTTCTGAGGTTGTAATTCTTTTGTAGGAGAAGAAAGTCTCATTTTTTTTTTTCACCTCCCCCCCCTCCCCCATGGAGCAGCAAGTGGGCTCGAATCGCTCACTTTGTAGTTCACAGTCCAATGCTTATTGTACAGAGTCACCGGACAGATAAAAACCAACTACAACATTGTCATCAACTCACTTTAAACTCCTGGTAATCCAATGTAGGTCAGAGTAGAACTGAACTCCTTAGCATTTTCAATAGCTAATTTTTTTAGAAAGAGATCACTAGGAATTTCTTCCAAGGTGCCTCTGGATGGGTTTGAACTTCCAACCTTTCAGTTAGCAGGAGACCAAGGTAAGCATTTGGACCACTGAAAGACTCCAGGGACAAATACTAGTATTAAATACTAATACTAGTATTTTAATTAAATACAAATACTAGCATTTTAATACTAGTATTAAAAATAGAAGGAGTCCTATGGGTTAATGCACTGGACTGCAAAATTGGTTTGAACCACACAAGGTCAGCAGTTCAAACTCACCAGCCTTATTCAGGGTTGCTATGAGACAGAACCGACTCGAAGGCACTTAACAACAACAACATTATAGATAGAAAGGTGTGCTGTTGGTGTAGTGGGTTAAGCATTGGACTACTAATCACAAGGTCAGTGGTTCAAACCCACCAGCCACTCTGAAGGAGAAAGATGAAGATGTCTGTTCCTGTAAAGATTTACAGTCTTGGAAACTTTATATGGGATTGGAATCAACTTGATGGCAGTGAGGTATGGGACTAACAAGTGATTACTGAATGAAGCTCTGCGTATCCACAGCTGACTCTCTTTGATCCACAGTGGCATCCTGTTGTTGGTAAGTGCCTTTGAGTCAGTTCTGACCCATGGTGACCCTATATAGTGTTTTCAAGGAGCAGCTGGTGAGCTTGAACCACCGACCTTGCACTTCAGACTGACTTCACTGTCTAGCAAATGTTTCTCATTCTAGAGTCAGGTACTGGCTCATCCATCTATTGCTTACTTTAAGGATCCCTAGTGCCCCCATGTTTGTGTACAATGATGGTTTCCAGTATTTCCAAGTCACTAAAGCTATTGTCTTGCCTATCCTAGAGAGGTGCAGATCAGCTCTTCCAGCACCACAACCTCTGAGAGTCAAGATCCCTCCTCTGGGGACCCAGCAGTCAGTGCTCTCCAACAACAGCTGTTACTAATGGTGGCTCGGAGGACCCAGTCAGAAACTCCACGGGTATGTTTCAGTATTGCTCTTGGTGAACATTTCGGGGAGTCTTCATATTTTTTTTTTTTTAAAGTTTTATCTTCTTTGTTTTTAAGAGTTTTTATTGTGAGTTGAGTGAAAGTTTACAGTGCAGATCGACAGATCATTAGTTTTACATACAACAAAATCGTCACCTTGTTTCATTACAATGATTATAATCCCTTCCATGTGCCATCAGTGAACAGTGTTTCTCTCTATTCATTTTAGCTCTTTTTTTTTTTTTTTTAAACACTCAGGCATATATAATAATTTACACCACCAAAGGGCACATTCTGCAAGCCTGCCTCCTGGCCACCAGCTCTTAGTCCCTCTTTTCCCATGAATCTCCATGTCCCCATCTCTGGTGTCGCTGCTTTTATGAATAAAGTCCTGCATTCTGCTTGTGCTCTTCTCCCTTGATGGTCCTAGAGTCCTCTGTTACTGGACTGTAAGATTAACCACTCCCCCCTTTATGTTACAAAGCTTCTGCCTTTACAGTTGTGACAGTTGAAAGTAGTCATGATAACAATTACTCACTGTTGAATCATAAGAATCTTATTTCCATCTCTTTTCACCAGACCCATCTATCTAGACAACATGATAACTATTCAGTGGGTTAAATGTTGTTTTCTCAGGTTTGCTCCAGTGTCATTGCACCCCTGGATGGTGGGCATTTCACTGCACAGTAATCTACTGAATGAAAGCATGAAGGCACCCCTTGGATACTAGTTATCCTTCAGTTGATTACTGCTACCAGGATTGCCACTGTTTAACTTGCAGCGTGCTTCCAAACACTGGAAATCCATTCACGTTGGTAGGTGGTTGCTATGTGCACATTTCACAGCAGCTCATTTGGCTAGATGTCTCCTGCATTAAATATTTGGCTTTTTGATTAGTTTATTATGGCCTTATAAATCAAGTATCTAAAGATTCTTGAAGATAAATGTTTGACTTGAAGAGAGACTTTATTCTTCTGGCAAATGACACTATCTTCACGGGCTCTGAATTCTGAAATCTTCCATCAATTACTGAGGGATGTTAGTATTGGTCCACTGACTTCTCAAACCTTAAATTAGATCTGACTCTGTGGGAGGCACAGCCAGAAAGTCAAAGCAAAAGGCAGCCCAGGAGGTCAGACCGTGAAGTTAGAATCTATCCTGGTGATTTTTAAAGACAAGGGATTGGAAGGCTCCTTAGATGAAGGGATACCTGACAAGACCTTGTAGAACAGGTGGGTTTCAGTTGGTGAAGACTGAGGAAGGTAATTGGGGATAACACCAAGTAGTCTCAAGTTTCTTTACTGCTTTGCTTACCTGACTCATGGCTATGTTCGTATTTCAGGTAGAAGACCTCACCTTTGAAAAAATAATATAGTTTTATGTATTTTTAAAATGATTTCTTAACCCAAATTACTCTACAATATGCAGGAAAGTACAATGGGTTGAAATATATACTATTACTCAGATGTGCCAAAAATGTAGTTAATTTCTAACTGAGGTCAGAGTGCTCAATTCCTGCTGAAGTGGTGAGCGAGGGGGACTTCCAAGTGCAGAGTTGGGGTAACTCAGGCCTTTCTGGCTCGAAGAATTTACTTTGGGAACACATAGTCAATTAAATTCCAAGGTTAGGTCCTGCTAGGGTTATTCTTTCACTTTCATTTAGGACGATTCCTTCACTTTCATGCATTGCCTCACTTCTGTCTTCTTCGCAAGCCTTCCATAAACTTTAGGAAGGTGGTACCTTCCTAAACTCACAGCCAAGTGTGGAGGTGAAAGGGCTTGTGGAGCCCTTTGGTTGTGGAGAACTGCTCACATGCCCAGTTTCAGTCCGCATTGTGGTTGCTGGGTGGTACCTGCTGTGAGTGGCTGCCTTGCCTGATTTGAGTGTGAGATCAGTGTCTGCCCCTCATGGACAGCAACCGGCCTTTTCCTGCCAGCTCTGAGGAACTCTTCATTTGGAAACCTCCTCACTTTCACCTGCATTTCTCCTGTTCCCCAGGCTTTTCTGGACCTCACTGCCTTCCCCAGGGCCCAAACCCCTGCTGTGTTTTCCAAACCACAGTCCTGTGCCCATTTTGTGAACTATGTCTGGCCACCAACTTGGCCACATCAGCCGGAGCACATGTGTAGCCTTACTTCTACGGGAAACAGGTCTCTCCCCGTTTCTGCCTGTCCCCATCTAGCATATCAGTGTTGAATCCCCAAGAATGGAAGGCTGTAATATATTGAGGTTGATTGGAAAATGTGAATGCCTTTAATTTGATCACATTCTGTCAGTTGGGGAACCACAGAGAAGCTGGGAACTTCAAATGATCAGATTCAAAATGTAAGAGACTGATGTAATGTCTCAAACACATCTCAAAGCAGAAACTAGAAAACACGTAACTCTTGCCAGGGGCAGTCAGACTTCGTCATGCTAATCCTGGTTGTACATTTACAGGAGTACTTTGTTTTATTTTGTCTCACTTTGTGGTACTTCACTGATGCTGTGTTTTTTATAAATTGAAGGTTTGTGGCAATCCTGAAAGTCTATCAGCACCATTTTAGTAATGTGTCATATATAGTAATTCTCCCCATAGTTCAAGTTTTTCTTACTGTTACTGTGTGGTGGCTCTGTACGATAAGGGCTGGACTGCGAACCCCAAGGTTGGCTGTTGGACCCCACCAAACAGTCTGTGAAAGAAAGATGAGGCTTTCTACTCCTGTGAAGATTTGCAATCTTGGAAACACTAGACAGGATCAATATGAGTTGGAACTGACTCGATGGCACTTAACGACAACCACATTGTACACTTAATAGATCACCCAAAGAATCCATTGCCACGGAGTCAATTTTGACTCATATCGACCCAGTATAGGGTTTCTGAGGCAGTAAAGTGTATGGGAGCAGAAAGTCTCATCTTTCTCCTGCGGAGCAGCTGGTAGGTTTGAATTGCAACCTTGCAATTAGCAGCCCAGTGCTTATTCTGCATTGCCAAATACATTATGTTGTTGTTGTTAAGTGCCATTGAGTCAGTTCTGATTCATGGCAACCCTCATTAGGGTTTCCGAGGAGCAACTGTTGGGTATGAACAGCCAACATTGTGGTTCACAGTCTATTGCTGATCCTACAGCGTCACCCCAGGAGTCCATATATACTGGACTGTAGCATGGGTGTCCAATCAGAGCACAGCTGGGAGGGGGGCCAAGACTAGCTGTGCTAAAATGTGTGTGCATTGAAGAAAGGGACCCTGCAAGAGAAGCCCCCCAGCAGAGCTTGGTTACCTTCTTTTGATATTAGGCAAGTGAATGGTTGGTTGGTTGCTTGATTATATGCTGTGGAGTCAGTTCCGACTCATAGTGACACTGCATAGGGTTTCCAAGGCTGTAAATCTTTACGAGAGCAGAAAGCTTCATCTTTCTCCCACAGAACAGCTGGTAGTTTCGAACTGCTGACCTTGAGGTTACCAGTCCGACTGGCAACCACTACGCTACCAGAGCTCCTTCAGATGAGTAGAGGAGGTTCTTATTTGTTATTGCAGCTACAGAGCAGCTATATGTTGTTGTTGCTGTTAGGTTCCATCAAGTTGGTAACGACTCATAGAGACCCTATGCACAACAGAACAAAACACTGCTCCATCCTGGGCCAACCTCACAATTGTTGCCATGCTTGAGGCCATTGATGCTGCTACTTGGCCAATCCATCTCGCTGGGGGTCTTCCTCTTTTCCTCTGACTCTCCACCTTTTTAGGGTTTGTGTAACCATCCTAAAATGTCTTCTTGCTCACACTGCTGGCTGAGAGGCAGCACTGGTTCAAATGCAGAACTGGATCCATGGGAGACAGCATTTTCTGCTTCCCTTGGTCCTTCCCTTGTTTGGGTTTTGAATTCATTCACCTTGTCTCATTCAAAACTTGTAGGTGGAAGTAGTTGTGAACTCTAAAGGTCCCTGCAAGAGCATGAGAGTGGCATTATTATTATTAACAATACTGTGGAGTAACATGATGGCCAAGCAGTTCATTGATCTTAAACTCATTTATATTGGGAACAATTGCCAAGATTAGCATGGTTCTAGGCCAGGTAGATTGTCATTCTAGGTTAATATAAAGCAAATGTTTACATCCCAATTTACATCATTAAAAATTAATGAGAAGGGGAACTGACACTTTTTACCTTGTCATTTACATTTTTTGTTGTTGTTACCATTATAGATCCAAGAGCATCTCTCTTTATTTTTATTTTTTGTTGTTATTCTAACATCATTCTTTTTTATTTAATATGTATATATTTTTAAGTTTTTATTGTGAATTGAGTGATAGTTTACAAGAGAGAACATGAGTTGTACACTCATTGTAATGATTACAGTCCCCTCCATGTGTCATCATTCAACAGTATTTGCTTCTATCCCCTCTGGTATTTTGTTTTGTTTTTGGGATGTACACAAAAACACTCAAGAATATATAATTATTTAAACAACCAAAGGGCACATTCTGCAAGCCTGCCTCCTGGCCACCAGCACTCAGTCCCTCTCTTTCCATGAGTCTAGGGTCCACAGCTGCTCTCTCTCTCCATGTCATCATCTCTGTCTCCATCTGTGGTGTCGCTGCTTCTCTGGATAGGGTCCCACATTCTGCTCATGTTCTTCTCTCTTGATGGTCCTAGGGTCCTCTGTTCCTGGACTGTAAGGTTAACTACTCCCTCCTTTATGTTATAAAATATCTACCTTTACAGTTCTCTAATTTTAACATAAAGCATTAAAAAAATGTTTTATTGTGAATTATGTGATAGTTTACATGGCAGAATATTAACTTTACATTCATCCTATTGTATATTGCTTCATTGCCATGGTTACAATTCCCTCCGTGCATCATCAACCAACAAAAGGGTATACCCTGCAAGCCTGCCCCCTGGTCATCAGCACACAGCCCCTCTCCCTTTCTGGGTCTAGAGTCCCCAGCTGCTACATCATTTTATGTCATAGTCTGTGCCTCCAACTCTGGCATCACTCTTTCT